ATATATATATTAGGGCTGTCAAAATTAGCGCGTTAACGCAAACTCATTTTAACGGCTCTAATTTTATTAACGCGCGATTAATGCAGCGCGCATTTTCTGTTTGACCCGTTGCCTAGCCCATAGTTGAAGAAATGGAGATGCACGGTGTTGCCGACTTACAGACTGTGTCGCTAGATTCAGCAACTTTTTTCAAAAAAGCACCTAGCAACAACACATAATTAGACAAACCTTATTTAGTTTCTGAGTCTCTCGGTATAGCCACGCGAGCGCGAGGTTTTGCATCTGCTCTGTTCTGTAAGCAGCCGAGAGGTGCAGCGCTTTTAGTTAAACCAGATATTATGTTGCTTCTCTAATTTTACATGCAAATATAGCCGAAATCACAGCACAACTATTGTCTTTATCTTATGTGTATTTGATTTCATCAGACGACGGCTCGATTATAAATTAGGATTTTTGTTCAGATTAACATCTTGGAAGAGAGAGCTGGTTATTGTCTTAATGGGTCCCGTTTTCATATTGTCAACCAAAACAGAAACAGTAAAATATAACAATGAAAACATTTTTATTGAGAATTTGGCTGCAACAAATTACAGTATGTGGGCACAGAGAAGTAAACAAATGTATTAATAAATAATAAATGTACATTTTGCATGTTCAGAAGAAGTGAGCTGCACTGTCCTGCAAATAATGTAAACAGGCTTGTGTAAGTAAATTGCTCAGTGTAAAGAAAGAGAAGAAATGGGAACCAAGTTATTTTTTCATGTCTGATAGGCATGAACAAGTTATTTGAAAAACATCTATGACCTTTGAAACATGTCTAGTTTTCATGCTCTATGTTGAGTATGGTTTCACTAATAATAAACATACATTTGCATAAAGCATCCATATTTGTTCATGCCCATGTTGAATAGAGTATTAAAAACTTGAAAAGTATTAATTTAAGGTACATTTAGAACAGATAAAAATGTGCGATTAAGTTGCGATTAATCACAAATTAACTCATGACAATCATGCGATTAATCACGATTAAATATTTTAATAGATTGACAGCCCTAATATATTTATTAGCTGTGGTGCGCAAGTGCCAGCGTCAGTAGCAGAGCTTGCCAGAGCTTCTCACGCTGACTTGTGACATAATCAAATATGGGTTTCATGATAATTAAAATACGAATCAGGAGAACCTCTAGAATAAGCGTTGGTAGCACCACAGATTAGGCACATTTGCCTACATTTGTAAAGAAAAATGTTACGTGTTGGAAACCCCTGGCATGGAGACTTGAAGCCACCAAGGCTTGCCCTGATCTACCTGATGGGGATGCTACAGCAATCAAAAGTACAAAATTGCTTAGAACTTCTCAACCGCTCATTGCAGATTAAAATGTCTTACACCATGGGAAACCTTGGCTCTAGAACAAAACGCATTTGTTGCATTTGCATAACTTTTGAAAAGGATGAGATATTTACCTACAGTAGCGTGTTTACCCACCACACAAAGCACGCAATTTCTCCCGAGGGGAGGGTTTACCTAAATTATACACATACATATGTAACACCTCAATTTAAAGTGCACTTTTATGGACTTTAAATTGAACAAACATTCATAAACACCACTGCAAACTTGTTTGGTTGGAAATATAGCTTTCGACCTGTGGTTAGAAGCATAGTTTCTTGTTACTGACATGTGGACTTAGATTATGGTCTTGGGCACAATAAGCATGCTAACATTCAGTACATTTTACATCTTTCATCCTATTTAAATACATTTCAGTCTATATATTTTCGAATGTCAGCTATCAGTACCATGTAATTTACGTGAAATGTAGTAAATTACATTGTGGAGTTAGACACCGATTGAATAAACAGCACATAAAATTATCAGTGTATTATCATGCAAGTGCACTCATCATCTGAAGAGTACAGGGTGCATTTGCCAAAAGCATCTTTAGATAACTATGGTTGCAAGCTCCTTTGTCACCAGCAATTTTTTCTACAATTTCGTATTGCAAAAAATCATATGGTATCACAAACAGCGTCAGCAAGTTGTATACATGCATAAATATGTATATATATGGATCACAACCCTTTGTTGTTTAATAAAATGCGGAATCACAATCAATGTGTGTGTGTGTGTGTGTGTGTACAATATATATATATATATATATATATATATATATGTTAAACCATAAAGAATATCAATATTAATGAGAAAAAGAAACCCAAGGTGTGAGAGAGACCAAAACGTGTGACCTATTTCTAAGACCAACAACCCAGTTCTTTATATAGAAAAGACCACTGGTATACAAACACCCATGCCCCAGTTGTGCCCAATCACCTAATTGCCACTCAGGCCAATCCCTGCCCGTGCACTGACAAAGAAAGGCCTAAAGAGAGCACAGGGGGTCGTAACACCTCCCACCCTAGAAAGAGGTTTACAGAATGGAAAACCTCCACCACATACATCAACAAACCAAAAGACCTCCTGTGATGCACCCTTTTCTTCTCTCCATCCTGGGCCCTAGGAACAAGAAAAGAAAACACCCCAAAAGTCTAGACGCGGGACATTGCATCCACAATAATGTTATTTTTGCTGCTGATATGTCTAATGTCTAGTGGATACTGTTGTAGGATCAAACTCCAACACATAATGCGTTGATTTTGATTCTGTCCATGGAGGGGGGGTCCATGGAAAGTGTCACAACCTGAACCCCGTCACAACCCTATGGCATTGCAAAGGTTGACAAGCAGCCACGTGTCAGACAAATGTTATGCAAAGGTCGTAACCTTCCCACCACCCCAGCACAAATTTGCTGACCTTGGTATCCGCAGGGACCAAAGGTGAGTATATCGCTGCTGGTGATAGCCAAGCCGCTGTTCCTTTCACCACAGAAATTTCTTAACAGAAGGGCGCATTCATTCTTTCAATGAAAGACTGCTTCAAGTCTTTCCTATTTGTTGTTACAGCTTGGCAGTAACAATGGGGAAGCGAGCCTTCCAGAGAAGGGCGCTATGGAGGCCACATCCTACCCGTAGGGAGGTATCATGTGGAGACACTGATATGGACTGACCCAGGCCTGGGGCAGTACTACATATGGAATGAGACTCTGAGGCAGACCCTACCTGAGAGTAGAGATGGAACGACTACCAGCAAAGCCTGACAGAATGGTCTGTCAAAGGGAAGACACGGGTTCACCGAGAGGGAAACCTTACCATGGAAGAATACACATATGGGATCACCCGAAGGGAATCAAGCCATATGGACACCTAGCCAAGTACAGGGGCTGACTGGAGACCCGGGCAAGCTAAC